TGGGGCGGCCCAAAATAAGGTTGTAGGCGGTCAATTCCTCGACCACCAAAAACTTGACGACCATGTGCCGCCCTTCCCCTTTGTCTCCTAGCCGGATGGGTATGTCAATCCTTCCCACCAGATGCACTACCCCTCCCCCAAAGCCAACTAAGGGGTGGGCAGCCTTGTGCATGCTGCTAGGCTTGTACTTGAGCTTTGTCAAGCACTGGTAGCTGATCAGGTCAGACGAGCTCCCGGTATCGATTAAGATCCGGCCAAATTGTTGATTAGCAACTTTGCATTCGATGACAATGGGTTCATCATGAGGCCGCCTCACCATGCCCCTGTCCTTCTCAGAGATGAAGACCTCAGGGAAGGTGTCTTTCGACGCCTGGCCCTCATCTTCTGGGTTGGATAATTTCCGGATGTTATCCTTGGCACCCCGGATGGTAAGACCCCCGCTTGCGAAGCCGCCTGCTATAGTGAAGATATGCTCTTCATCCATTTCAGAGCTAGCAGCCGGTTTCTTGGACGGTTGTCCCCCACTTAGTTTGGGGTTGCCCCTGGACTTCACCAGATAGGACCCCAGAGCCCCCTCATCAGCCAAACGGTCCAATAGCCGCCTGAGGCTATAGCAACCATTGGTGTCATGGCCAACATTCTCATGGAACTGGCAATACTTTCTTTTATCTCTGTTCTTGACAGAGCTTTTCATTGCAGCCGGTTTTTCGATTGTCAATCGGTCCTTTATCTCCATGAGGATGGAGGAGCAGTCTTTTTTGAACTCGTACTTTGGGACGTACAGTTCCAACTTCCTTTGCTTCTTCTGGAACGGCTGACCTGGGCGGTCTGCTGCCCGGACTTCTTTTCTTTTCTTTTCTTCTTTTTTGGCCAGCTGAGTTGGCCGGCTGTCTCTCCTGTCGGGCCGCTTGGGTTCCGACCGATGTTTGATGGCGCAGAGCTCAGTTGCCTGTATATAGGCCTCCGCCTCCATGAGCGGCTCTTGGAGGGTTGCTACCCTCTTGCGGACCAGGTCAAATTTGAAAGTTGACCCATCCTTCAGACCCTTGAAGAAGTTTGTATATGCAACTTCGTCAAACAGCCCCTGAATCTGAATTCTCATCAGATTGAACCGCCTGACATAGGACCAAAGTCCCTCCTTGTCACCCTGCTGGATTGCCCCTAGGTCGATACTAGTCTTTTTAGCAGGGATATTCATGGAAAAATTGGACGCAAACAGATATGCAAGCGTCTTGAAGTTGTTGATGCACCCAGCCGACAAGTTGCCGAACCATCGCTGGGCTATGCCCTTCAAGGTAGCCGGGAAGCATCTGCACCAGGCGGCGTCATCCAACCCCTGTAGGTACATGAGGTTGGTGTATGCCATTAGGTGGTCTTCTAGGTTGGTGGTACCGTCGTAGGCACCAACCAACACGTTTTTAACCTTTGCCAGCTATGCCGCCTCGGTTATCTCCCAGAAGAAAGCCGAAGGCTGTTCCCCAAGATTTAGTAGACGGAGCTGCATGTCCATAGGTTGGGCTTGGTATGCCGCCTGACCCCCGAAGGGAGCCGACTGCATGAAGGGAGATCCATACGGGGCGTATTGCTGTTGGGGCACATACGGAGCCTGCTGGATCACGTGAGGGCCAGTACATGTGGACACGCCGCGCGATTGACTCCCTTGCTGGGTCTCCGAGTGCTTCATTGAAGCATTTCGGAAACTGTCCGAGTAGGTTGACGTTGAAGCCGACTGAGACATGCTTTGACTTTTCTTCTCCTAGATGAACATCTGGGCGTCAGAGAAAGTCTTTTTTGACCCATCCGGCTGTGTATGCCGGATGGCCTTCCTTTTCCCTGATTCAGGGAAACGAAGTTTGGAGAGGTCGATCAGGGGCCCATCCGTCCCCTTGGGTTTGGGATGCGGAGTAGGCACCCGGTCTTTGATTTGCTTCTTCCCGGAGGGAGAAGGCTTCTTTGCCGACTGACCCTTGCTTGAGCCAGCTGACCTCTTGATTATATCTTTGATTTCCCCCTTGAAACTAGTCATGAGATTCATGAGTTCGTCTCTGGTGATGGGGGCAGCACCCACCGCCGCCTGGGGTTGTCCAGGGTGCTTGTCGCCTGGGTTGTTGGGACAAGCTTTGTCTTGGCCCCGTTCCTTCTTTTCTTTGGAACGGGTGCGCCTAGAGCGGAATGACCCATCTAGGGCCATATAGGTTTCGACATTGTAGTCGTCACCACTGCCACTTTCATGGTCCGTATGGACCTCAGGGTGAGCCGTAGGCCGGCTGCCCTCTACATTCGGTACAGCATCAGATGCCATCTCAGTAGCACTCTCCCCACAGACGGCGCCAAATGTTTCTGGTGTTTTTAGTCCCTCGGGAGAGTTACAATACGGAGTATGTGCGCCTGACTTCTGTACCTGCAAAACTACGAAACTCCGGTTGGGTGGAGTTCCGCCTCCGAAGATCAAGTTAGTATGATTCCGGATGAGAAAGCGTGCGGAAAGTAGAATGAATGTTTCTCTCTAATTCAGGGAGATTCCGCAATTAATATTGCTCGGGATTTGTGTATGTATTTATGAATGAATCATAAATGAGGATTTTCCCCCTATTTATAGTGGGGGAGGCATGTTCCCTGATTAGGGTTTTGATGCCACGTGTCAACATCCGATTGGATCCCATTGGGCCTCTGGTGGGCTGCCACGTGTCATTATACTACTAGGCCACGTGGCATACAGTATTTTTACCCTAAACAATTAGCCCTAGACGGGTGAATACTATGTGAAATTAATTAGTTAAAGTTTTATTTAAAGTGATCAAACAACACTAATTAATCAATTAAAGTTATATACTTAAGAAAAGAAAAGTGATTTATCTAACTATTCTCCTTTGTTTGCTAGATCTTTATTGTGATGTTTATGGACCTTTCTTCTTCTTCTTACCTCAAAGGCTTCAATGGAATCAATTAGGGTTGGAGATTATTTTGGAAGAGAGGAGAAAATTAGTATGATAGTAAAAGGGTTTGAGAGATTAGGGATTTCACAATGCTAGGGTTTTAATTATGATTTTCTATTGTGATTTGGGCTAACGAAGACCCCTATTTATAGGCGTAGGAATATAAGTTTAGGGTTTTAGAGTCGCGGCGTCAAGTGGCACGCGCAACTTTATGACTTGCGCTCGGCAGGCGCGCGCAACTTTGATAGTTGCATGCGGTGCGGTTTGCCTTATACAAAAACGCGTTTTTAAAACTTCCATAACTTTTGATTGCAAAGTCGGATTAAGAAAAATAAGATATTATTCGAAAGCTCTGAATGTCTACATTCCAATGCTGTTAGAATTAGGTTATAATCTGTTATGGATCAAAAGATATGGCCGTTTGAGCACAAGGGTGTCGGTTTTAGGGCCCGGTTTAGTATTTTGATGATAACCTCTTCGTTTTAACTCGGAATTAGGCTTTTATAATATACCGTTGGAAAGCTTTTTGAAAGGGATATCCATATGTATAGCCTGGAATGGATATTGGCTGGTTAAATATTCTGGTTGCCTCGGTTTTCTACAATGTAAGATATATCTGATCTAATCATTGCATTTGACTCATTTAGGTCCGTTATGAATCAAGTTTAAACATGTATGAGCACGTTTTAGGCCTAATTAATAATCGGATTAGGCTCTAAGATAATTTGGTCTCAAATACAGGTTTTAACTGACTTCCTAATGCATTTTGGAGTCCATAAACACTTCAACTTTGATCTAGCATGAAAAACGAGTTTTGGTAACATCATCGAACTTCCTGTCGGGACAAGAGGCCAAAAGTAGGTGTCTACACAATATAAACATAAAATGAAAATAAACACAATAGAAAAATCATCATCTCAAGGATGAGATCAATTTATTGAAAGCAATGAAAGGTTTTTGGGGCTTACCATCGGTAAGAACACCGGTGAAAACCCCTACAAAGATTCACAACTGAGACCTAGAGGAAAAGAGATGGTAGTGATTGAGAGAAAAGAGAATGAAAACCTTAATAAAAAAACAGAAAGAACCTAACAATGGAGGCTAAGAAAACCCTCCCAATAGAGAAATCCTAGAGGGAACCAAGAAAAACCCTCCCAAGGAGAAAACCTGGAGAGAACTTACAAAGTTGGATTTTTTTTTTTTATTAATTTTTTTTTTACAAGAAAAAGGATTTCATTAATGCAAGATAGTCAAGCGGCACTTACAAACAATTCCTAGGAAATCTAAAATTCCAACACAAGTACAAATCACCTTAGAACTAGTTACATCGCATATTCGATCAACGATCGCCTTATTAAAAAACTTCATCCGAACCAATACAATCTATGAGTGAAAATACTCATATGGTCTTCTGATGAATAGTTGTTTGCTTGAAAATACTTATATGGTCTTCTATATACTTCCGCTGAATATGAAACCCAAAATCGCCTTATTAAAAAACTTCATCCAAACCAATACAATCTATGAGTGAAAATACTCATATGGTCTTCTGATGAATAGTTGTTTGATTGAAAATACTCATATGGTCTTCTATATACTTCCGGAGAATATGAAACCCAAAATCTTCGATCTTCGACAGAAGAACAAAAAAAGAAATTAAGCCTAATAAAATAACCACCATCTTACAGATCCAATCCATTTATTGAAAGCAATTAAAAAGTTTTTTGAGGCTTACCACCAGTAAAAACATCGGTGGAAGCCCCTAAGATGCACAATTGAGATCAAAAGAAAAGAGATGAAAGAGAAAGAGAGAAAAGGAGAAAAGTGAAGGAAAACCTTCAAAAAACACAGGAAAAATCTAGCAATGAAGGCTAGAATACTCTCCCAAGACACAAATCCTAAAAGGAACCAGAAAAACCCTTCCAAGGAGAAACCTTAGAGGGAACGTATACAAAGTTGAATTTTAGATTAATAAAAGTAGTTCCATTTTTTTAACAAAACAATAAATATTGAGGGTACCTTTAATTTAAAACAAAAATCCACCAAAATGTTTTGTAAACAGTATGAACTTACAAAGGCTCTTTTACTAACTAAAAAAATTAAGATCAAGGGCCAACAATAATAAAACGACACATATACCACTGCTGCTAGAGAAATTTTTACAGTACACAGGAATATATACCCACCGTACCTTAATTCCAAATAATCTTGAAATTTCTATAGTTCTATGGATATAACTTCTAATTTACATTGAAAACATCCGGTAGCAGCGCCTGGAAAGCACTAACTAAAACAAATGTCCTTTAATCACTCTTGACATGAGTATCATGGTGCAAGTATACAAAGAGCTTCCTCAGACGATGTCACTCCAATTCATGGAGAGAATGTGAGGCTTGAGCCTTGAGCACACTTCCCTGCGATGCTATTGATGATGTGGAAGTTTACTTCCAGATTATGTCACCCAAAAATCTAAGAGCCGGGACGCCTCTGATCTCTACATCAACAAGTGGTGCCTGGATCAAAGTCAAGGGAGCGAGTTCAGGATCACTTTGTATCACATCAAGTGCACGCGTCTGATCCTGTAAAATTTTCAGATAACAAAAAAAATGCCAGGTTAGAACATGGATATGTATAACCCATTGATATAAAATCCGCAAGTGATAGATGTATATCAGAATAGTACCAAATAGGCAAATATAATTGGGGTAGCATTAAATTTAGCTATGCTATTTACCTAACATAGCATGGAAAGTTACAGTACCTTCAATCACCATTCACATGAAATGCAAATTCCGTTATTTTCATGACACCCGAACAAGTTCAGCAAATTCAAGGAATTATATGAAGTTACTTCCTATATGTAAATTAACATAGGAATTTAATTCCGATAGCCACAAAACAAGAACCAAGTTTACATTGAGCACACAAATGTAGTTAAAGGACCCTTCATTGTAACTTTGTAATAAATCCCTCCACCAACAAAAATCCTTGTATTCCTAATTTGGATGACAGCATTAAAGTTTACCAATTACAATGAGAAGTTGAAACCAATCAACCCCCTGTGAGATCGCATGGCAAAGAGTGAATGCATAAATGCAGTTATGTAATTATCCCCCAAACAATCAGTCATCTAATTATCCCCAAATTATCTTCTCCTCCCTCATTTCTACTAATCTGACACTGATGAGAAGTTTCAATGTATTTTGTCAAGTTTTGTTTAGGGAGTATCCAACCATTCTGATCACATGCCGAACACCGCCTGACTTAATTGCAGCACTAATACATTACCTATATAATTTTCCCCCCAAATTACCTTCTCCCCCCTCTTTTCTCTGATCTGATCTTCAGTCCATTACATACTCTCTCCACTAATCCCATATAATGTGGGCTCTTCCACTAAGGGTTTGATTGTTTCATCTTATTTTAACTTATTTCAGACAAAATAAGTTCAGATGAGTTAAGATAAAAATCAGTTCAGGCAAAAAAAAAAGCTCACAAGTTTAGCATAAATAAGTTCAGAAGTATAATATAAGTTCAGACAAAATAGGTTTTGTTTGGAAATTTAAACAATTTCACATTATATATTGAAACAAAAAATTTAGATAAGTAAGTTCGGACAATATGATACTTCCTCCATTTTTTTACTAATTCCACCATTTTGACTATTCACTATTCAGACATTCCTCTTTGACCATCTTTTGTGTTTTACATATGAGGGAAAGTATAGTCATCTTCGATCTTAGATTCGTCTTAATATATGCTTTCCAAGTATCAATTTTTTTTTATCATTTTTACTAAAAAGCAAATTAAAGATATTAATGGCTTGCATTGGCAAGCATGAAACTCTAGATGGTGCAATTAAAAAATAAAAAAAGGAGGAAGCACAAGTTCAAGTAAAATAATACTATAAGTTTATAGTTCAGACAAAATAATACAAATTTTGACAAGTTCAGATAATATCAGGTGAACAAAATAGAGCCTCTCACAATCTTCAATCTGCTTTATTATTTCTAAATTATCTACCAAAAAAGCCTACATTACCCAACTAAAACCCTTAAAATGTGTGTAACAGGAAATAATTATGTACCTTCCTCTTCATTGCACAGAATTTGCAATCCGATGCAGAAGGTGGCAGGAGCTGATTTACAATAAGCCTCTTGACAGGCACATTTTCCTTCTTTAGAGAAGCAGAGAGTCTGGCTGATTCATTAATGGCCATGACCTGCATTAGCAAAAAGAAATGGTTTATGTCTCCACCACAAAATTTACGATAAAGATTAAAAAAAATATACTAAAACTAGTAAAACAAAGATACACAATGGCACATGAAAATGTAGAAATCTAAAAACTGGCAAATACAAATTTCCCCAGAAGGGAAATGTATTTTGAAATAGAAAAAGAAAATTGGAGAATGCACACAGATATATGTGATCCCACCACTCAACTGGAATGCCATGCCATGTGGTCAAACACAAATAATCAATCAAACAAATAGAGAAGAATCTGCACATCACGACTACAAAAAAAATACCTTACAAATATAGCAAAAAGGAGATCAGAAGACAGCAATACTGGAGACTTGGCCAGAATAAACACCAGAAGGCAGAAAAGCCAGAAACAGCCAAAGATTTCAGAAAAGAAATAAAACAAAATACTAAGTGATTCGGAGAAACAAGTTACAGGGCCAAGGAAGGAAATGTTAGATCAGCAAGAGTTGTTTAGCCCTTGGAGAGGAGGGATGGGGTGGTTGATTAATACAATTATAAGCAAGACATTGGGTCACTGGAGAAAATTCATTTGGAGGGTCACTTCATACTTCACAGAGAAGGTGATTGAAAGCAGGGTAGAAGCTGAGCATCAAAAACAAATGGGTCCTTGCTAGGATAAGAAAGTATAAACTGCAGATCAAGATGCTTTTTTACTACACATAAGCTGCCATTTCTGCTCTGAAATGTTTTGTTTGCTGAGCATATATTTCCAAATCCACTTCAAAAATATTTAGGAAATGGATTTTTCTTTTAAGTGGGGTAATTAAATGCGTCAAATATGATGCCAAGAACAAATGTATACAACTAAATATCAAGAGAATACCTTTGATATGGAGCATCATGTACAGTAATTTACAGGTCAAATGAAAACTTATCAAAGACGATACAAAATGACAACAAAATGCTTTACACTAAAACCACATCCTTACCGTTGGAATAGTGACTATGACAAACTCTGTTGACTCAGTATCCCGAAATAGCTCTCGCACTTGAATCATTCTTTCACGTAGCTTCTCCAATTTGCCAGCCTAAAAATTCAAAAAGAAAGTAGGCACTCGTATACAGCTTATTCACAAGAAAAGGTAAAAGGAACTGACAACATAAAAGGCCAAGCTTACAGCATCCTGTTGAGGTGGCTGTTCTTGCCCAAAAACAGATTTAAGTGCTGAAGTAGCGGATGTAATTTTCTGCCTTAGCTGCACGTGAGAGGCAAATCGTTAAGGGGGAATAAGGAACTATTAGAAATGGGGAATAGGAACATGGCATACAGCAGCACTACAAACACAGCCGTTTTTTTTAACCCTCATCTATGTTTGAGACAGGCATTTGCCTTCTATATAACGGTTGGATTTTTATTTTAATATTTTCTGTGTACTAACTCAGTGGTTCAACCGTTCAAAACTTGGACCCTGCTAATAAGTCGATTTTTGATCCATTTTATGTAGTATTTTTAGTTCTCTTTTGTAGCCTTTTCTCTCTATTTTACTCTTTTCTAACCATATTTCTAGTTTATTTTCACTTTGTAGCGTTTCATTATATTTGTAGAATTTTTGCTACTTATTGGCATTTTTGTGGTTCCCTTGTGTTTGTCTCACATTTAGCAGGTTTAATGACCAAATGATGGCGGCTTAGCCCGCCAATTAGCAAAGAAAGACTTGCAGTGTAAAGATTCATCACCCCAGTCAAGGTGCGGCCTCTCCTGGCAACAAAAGAAGTTCCTGCCCCCTTGGTAGGATTTCTGATTTCCTAGAGAGTACTCTCCAAGTGTATGTTACGGCCTCTCCACCCTGCTACAGACCTTGCTGCCTCAGCTTGGCAGAATTGAAGAAAATCAGAGGCGCGGCCTCTCCATCTATTTGGAGAGCCCTCTCCTCCTGAGTGCTGAACATTCTGCCCCAGGAGGAGAGGGCTCTCCAAAATCAGAAAAAACTTTGATATCATTGTTAGCACTTTGTTCTACACCATGGATTGTGAGTAATCTCTTTGGCTAGGGGTTGGGTGAGACCCAATCAAGTCATAAATTAAGTAAAGTTGGGTAATTTATGTTCAATTTAGGTTGATCTTCATTTGTTCTTGAGCCGGTTAATTGCATGTGCATTTTGGTGGCCAATTTATACTTATACACTCCAAATCTTCCATTAAAAGATAGAGTTTGGTTGCAGACCTTTTCTGCATTTAGATTAAACTTCTAGCTTGGTTATGGTTTCATTTCTGTGTATGCCTTAATTGTGGTAATTAGGTGAGAAATCTCAATTATTTGTTTCTCATGCTTTCTCAAAATGGTGAAATCAATATCATGGCTAAGTTAAGCTTGTAATTGTTTCCCAAATTCTGATGTCTTATTAGTCTTCCCTTGTGGATACGATCCTTTGCTTGCCTATATACTTGCTATTTGGTAGTATAAGTTATTCAAAGTGTTTAATTGTCAAACAACCAAGCTAGCGCTTGTCAATTGACGTCGTTGACTAGGATTAATAAAAACCAACCACAATAACCAAAAAGGCTAATCAAGGCCTTCATATCCGACATTCCACAATTGGCCTCCGTAATTCTTATAATGCAATTGTGCCAAAAAGAGCAAAACAATGAAGCCCAAATCCAAAACCAGCATAACACAAGAATGCATAACACCAACAACCAAACTTTAACAAACATGCAAACGCAAAGAATGCATAACACCAACAACCAAACTTTAACAAACATGCAAACACACACGCCCCCGTAACCATTGACCGTCCCCAGAAAAAGTAAAAGCCAAGACTAGACAACACCCCCAAAACTAAATATACACCGGCTTCTATAGCTTATGAGTTATGAAAGGGGAGGGGGGTTGGGGACGATAGAAAGAGGTGACTACTCTTCCCGGTGAATACTCAAAATAATAGTTAAGATCAAAATCAGCAAGGTTTATCGGAGTGTTCATACGATGGCAAACCAATATGAGGGGTAGAGCGGTAGTGGTTAAAGTCCAACCTACCTTGGAATCAACCACCATCATACTCGAGTGGAAACCTGTATGGCCCCTATGAAGCTCTTGTTTCCACTTTGACAAAGGTGGGGTCATATCAATAGAAGAGCTACTACCCTCGACTATGTTACTTGGACTCATATACCCAAGACCAACACGTATGTGTCCATCTATTTTGTGAAAATTTTCCATTATTTTGAACTAAATGGAAGGTGTACAAGTGTCTTACCCGTGTCTGAGTGTCAAAAATCCAACACGAGTACTTGAGGTGAAATGAAGAGTCACATCCCTCAGTTTGGATTTAGTCATAGAGAGGGAGAGAGCGAAGCTCCTCAATGGAGCTACGGGGACCTAGCCAGTAGGGGTAGGTGGGTTGGTTATTAGATCCATTGACCTTGCCAGTAGGATTATTGTGCAACAAAGTTTTGATATTCATTCTCACTAAGGTTTTGAGCTTGCATAAAACTCCCGAAAGGCAGAATCACAATCAAAGAAGGAAAAAAAGGAAGTACTTACCCTATAATTGGGTTCGATAGACCCAATAGCATGCGAGTAGCGCGGCTTTATATCGAGGATAGTTACACTCGGAATCAAAGGCTCAATGGGAACACCCCACCATCTCGGTCAAATGAGAAGTGAGATGATACCAAGGGTGCCAACCCTTCACCCTCCAACTATACTTGGTTTACGACTAGTCTCCTCGATGAAGGAGCGGGCTATAAAAGCCTCAATGTTTTGGGCCCTAGCCCACACGGACTAACATATTAAGGTGATTCTCAAATTTTAAACTTTTCGTAATGATGGTCACCATTCCCCTACATTGTTTATCCCTAGACATCTTCGGTTTATCCCTTAGCTTTAAACACCTGTTCAAGAACATGTATTGTGAGCCAATCTCTTGGCACGCTCTTTGGTATTGTACGCGGGTTTAAATCAGTCAAAGATTTTTATTATTGGTGATTGAGGTTCGAATTCGTTAGTATTGGAAGTAGAGATATTGGTTTTTGATATCTTTCTTTTCCTAAACAAGCTAGCCATCTTAACTCCTTACTAATGAAAACAACAACCAATTAACAAATCACACTCCTCCAAGGCTCCAACTAATAACAACCCCCACGAACTACAATTCAACCACACTTATGACAATTTATAACAACGGTTTTTCACCATATACACCCGAATTTTAATTTAATTCACCATTTACCACTGAATTTTTTTAAATACACCATATACCCATGAGTTTTCACAAAAATGCACCATATACCCTTGATGACCACAAGATGAGTGGAGTTTGGTAAATTATGACACGAAACCACCCCAGATCCCTTCCCCTACCATTGAAACCATCGCCCAAACCCTGAAACAACCCTGAATCTCTAGAATCATGTCCGTATGATTGGTTTTCAGGGTGAGGAAAGGAGATCTAAGGTGGTTTCGTAGGTAGAGGAAGGGAGGTAGTTGGTTTCGGGGGTGGGGGAAGGGATCGGGGTGGTTTTGGGGCATAATTAACCCTAAAGACTGATAGTTCAAACATATGTTAGTAAATAAGGGTATCTAGTGCATTTTTCAAAAAACTCAGGGTATACAAAAAATCCATGGGTATATGGTGAATAAAAAAAAACCTTGAGGGTATATGATGAAAAACCAGTTATAACAATAATCCACAATCCCACGAATATAGTTCAATCTCAAAACAACAATGAAATTCCACACATTTAACCAAAATAAGAAAAAATTAACAATTCACTAGAAGAACCCTTGGGTTCAAGAGAAAAAGGTGAAGCAATGATGGAATTATATCTCTAGAGCATGAAAATACTACATAATTCATATATGTCCTTTTTGCTTCAGTGAACTTTGTTCTTTGCTTCAAATGGAGGTTGTGCTTAATTCTCTCCTTGCTGATGAGTGTTAGTTATGACACTCATAGGGTAGTTTTCTTCTTTGTTTTATTCTTGTTTTTAGCTTCTTTTGTCGTATTTTTAGGTGATAATGCTTGCTTTGCGTGCTTGTGTGTTAGTTTAGAGAAATGCGAGCTTTTAATGGTTTTATTATGTTTTACGCATTTCTTGTCTATTCTCTCGTTTCTCTGTTTGTTTGTCTTGTTTTGTAGGCGTGTCTCTGAGGTTCAAATACCGAGGAGGAAGCTTGACAATAGCTATGGAAGTCAACATAATCAAGTTCGGGAAGCTAGAGCACAAGTGACACAAGTTAGATGATAAAGCAAAGAGACTCGGATAAGTACCTTGGCAAAATTTGCAAGCTTGCCCAAGTCCTTGAAGTTGAAAAAATCAAGAAATGCCTTTAGATTGGGCAACTTCTAGCCCGTGCTCGAGTCCCTGCTACACCAAAAGCTACCTACAGTGTACCGCGCAAGATTTGAAGCAAGCAACTATATACCGCGCTTCAGGCACTAGTATTGTGACGCAGCACACTATGGTGCATTAAGGTTTCCGAGTTAAGGCACTCGTAGCGCGGTGCGCGCTGACCAGGGGTGCGTGGCCTGCGTTGTCCTGCGGTACAGTTTTTCATTCCTCGGGCAAGGCTCGGCCAGCTACCCGAGCCTAGAAATGGGTAGCTTGGCCAAGTTCCTTAGCGCGCCCACGCCATACCATCTTGCCGCGCTTTAATTCTTCTTTCTATAAATAGTTCGGGACTTCCCCTTTGTAACCTAACTTTAGAATACTTCATTTTTAAGTCCTCTTTCATAATTAGGCTTAGGTTGAGAGCTTCTCTTTCTAGATAAGGCTTAGATCAAGAGTAGTTTTAGAGAGAGAATGGTCGAAACATCAATAGAGAATTGAGAGATTGAAGATTTAAGTGTGGCTTTGGATATCTTCTCAACTATTCAATGAGCATTTCTTACTCTATCTCATCTTTATTGCTTTCTTTAATTACTTGTTGATTTAGTTTTGTTGCTGTTAATCTTCGAATTTGGTTGATTTTTTATTTCAATTGCTTGTTTGAATTGATGATGAAGTGAAGTGAGTAGTTTGCTTGCTAGGGTTTGGGTAAAGCATGCTTGATTGATTATTGTGATTAGTTTGGGGATATAGGTTGATTGATTGTTGATATTAAATTAATTAATGGAAGTCTGCATGTGATTAGTTTGATTAGGCCTTGATGACTAAACTAGAATGCATTGTGAATTCATTTGACATGGCCAATTGATTTTGGATTTGAAATTATTGATTGGTTTGATTTGTGATTCTCTTAATTTATGACTCTTAAAGGAAACCTAGTTTGATGATTAGGAGATAACTCTTCAATTCCAAATGATAGCTCTTACCATTAATCCTCATAACTATTATTTAGCTTGACTTTCCGCAAATTGGTGCAATTATTATGATTACATGTTTATCCCCATTCCCAAGTGTTTAGTTCGTTTGATTGCTTTTTTTTGTTGGTTGAGTTAGTGCTTGATTAATCTTCTCTAGCCTTTGACTTCGACCTAGCTTAGGCATAGATTCGAAACACTTAAGCACAACTGTTCCTTGTGGTTCGACCCTTGACTTACCGTTATACTTGTATATAAGTTAGTTAAGTGATATAAATTTTGTTTGACCTTAGGGAAGATTAGTCAAACGACCTATTTTTTTCCTTAGTCACTTGCTTGAATGTGCAAGAAATTGGGGATTTTGTGAAGATAATGTGTTGTAGAATGTGAATTTAGGAATTTTTGTGAGAAGATTTTAGAAGAAAGATGATGATTTGATAAAAGATGGGAAAAAGAACAGGGTTTGGAGAGTGATAAAAGGGGGGAAAGAGAATGTATGAGTGTAGTGAGAAATAATGAGTGAAGAAAGGAAAAAGAAATCAAAAGTCGATGTCTCTTCTTCCAATACTACAAAATTGTGAACTTCAACCCACCAATATAAAAATCTCCATAATAAAAATCCCTGACCAATTTCAACTCGCTCACAATAAGTTGAATATAAGAATAAAAATATCCACAAAATTCTATGACTAAAGAGCGTGTGCCAAGAGATTGGCATTGATGTTGGGGTGAGGAGGGTGGTGGAGAACTTCGAGTGGTTAGAGTTTGTGAACCATCAAGAGGAACTTAATCGGAAACCTTAAAGTTCCTTTCCACCCTATCCAACACCCAAATCTTCCAATAAGCAAATTTAAAATAACATTCGGAATGTTCAATGTCGAGAAAACCTTTGACTTTCACAAGGCTAGATCTAATACTTCCTCTGTTTCTTTTTAGTTGCATCACTTTAAAAATTGCAGACTCTTAGAGAATTTTTGGAGATGAGAGAGATAGAGAAAAAGAAAAAAGTAGACCCATGTGATAAGAGAGAGATAGAAAATTTATTAATTAAAAAGGTAAGTGATGCATCTAAATTGAAACTTCCTTTTTTAGAAAGTGATAGGCTTATAGCTTGCTTTTCAAAGCAAGATTTACGAAGTTAACAAGAGAGGAGATTAAAGTCATATACATTGTAGCAAGAACTAAGAGGGATTTTAAGGGGAATGTGAACATGGGCTACATATTCTTGAAGAGGTGTTTAAAGTTAAGGGAATCATAAATGCATCATTGCGAAAGCCTTCAAATTTAAAAATGACTTTAGTTTGATGGTCCATGTGGGTAATACTACTGTTTGATCATCCACTCCATTAAGGAGAAAAGCCGCCCCACCAAGTATAATTGGGGGTGATGGGTAGGCACCATTACTACCTTACCTCTCCTCACTTGACTGAAAAAATGGGGGCGGCAAGAACTTGGGTTGTTCCCTTTGAACCTTGATTGTGGGTGATTTTTCTCACCAATATAAAGCAAGCCTGCACTATTTTGACCCCGATTACAATTTGCCCGTACGTCAACACTCCAATAAACTTTGGTGACGTTGATCATAACTATAATTTTGAATATTTGACAATTAAGATAAAAAGTAGCCACCCGTTTTTATCATCCCCGCCTCCCCTTCATAATCCTTAGGACACCGCAGTGTCAATATCTAATATCTTGCTTTGGAGGTTGTTTGTGCTTAGCTTGGGGGTGTGTGGGTGTGCATTTTTGTTAAAGGTCGGTTGTTGGTGTTGTGCACTTTTGTGTTATGTTGTTTTGGATTTGTGCTTCATTGTTTGGCTGAAGATTACATTATGAGAATCCAAAAAAAAAAACAATTCAAGTAAGATAAATTAGGACTCCCTCCATTTCATAATAATAATAGGTCTGTCACAAAGTTTTAGAAATTTATAAGGTAGGGATGGTGAATATTATAATATAAATTATAGTTAGTAAAGATATAATTAATTGTTCGTAGGAGAGAGAAATAAAAAAAAATAAAAAAAAAATAGTATAAGTGGGATTAGTAATAGAGAGATAATAGAATATTTATACAATTGGAGTTAGTAGGAGAGAGAAATAATAAAATAGTATTGGATCTTTTCCAAATTAGGAAGTGTTGCAATTATTATGAAACAGATGTAAAAGGAAAATGATGCGATTATTAAGAAATAGAGGGAGTATATACAAAACACGTATAATCTAGTTAGGTAAAGCACTGTAGCCTAAGTTCAGAATGTTTATGTAATAGCATATAAATCTACTAAAGCTCATATTCTCTTTATTTTGCCTGATCCTAACTTATTGTTGTTGAATTGTTAGTTAAATTTCAAATATTAAACTTAATGATTTTTTTTTTTTTTTTTTTTGGGCTGAACTTAACTTATTTTTGAACTTTATATAGTTTTGTTTAACTAAGGCCATGTTCAATTCAAGCTTATGTAAGCAAAAATTTGCTAATTTCAAAAATGATAACATCAGTCAAAACCTTATTCGTATTTGAAAAGTACACATTAATATGTATCTAATGACATCTCATTCGGTAATTTTTTTTATCTTAAGGATTAGAGTTAACATAAGATCAAAGTTTGCATCTGGAAATTAAATTCATTCACACATAAGGTGAACTGAACATAGCCTAACTTTGCTTTAACTAAACTTTATTTTGCAAAGCTTTACTTCTTTACTTATATTGCATGACTTATTTTTATAAACTACAAAGAACAGAGCCTAAACAATTAATAATATATAGTTATTTACAATGGATATGGAACTTTTTTTCATCTCAAGCCATAGAGACAAAGTATCATAAAGCTTTATCTCTAAGCATGTTACTTAATGGCATACACCGAGCTAATTGAAATTGCAAATTCTACATCAAGAAGGTGATAGTCAGCATACATAGATATCATAACACTAAAGATACAAAGCTTAAAATATCTAGGCCAGACACTACATAGGAATACAAAGAATATGCCAAACAGACAATGTAATTGTAACCTGACAGACAGTTGATGATTTCCAAGTTAGCTAATTATGAACGCAAATAAAAAGACTTTGGACAGAGAATTAATGGCGTCACTAACTTCCAATGATATATCAATCAACAACTTATAAACGCACCTTGAGTATCTTACCAATGGAAGCATCTAAAAAGTCTGGTAGTGATAAGAGTCGCAATGTGTGACCCTGTTTAGAAAAGTAAAGGAAAGAAGATTCAAAAGGCAATGGTGAATAAAATAATACGCCTTAAATATACAATCACAAGTCTCAATGGGTAGCCATCAATGTTGACTACATATATAATAACTTTGACAATGAATTCTCGAATGCTGATAGATTTGGAACATTACAGAAATTTTAAGTATCTGTAGCAGCATTCTTGACTATGTATCATATATGTTAGCTGATCTCTAGGTCATTCTGCGACCACCTCTATGCTAATCTAATCTAGTCAAGGCCAGGTGCAATTTGCCTCTTTGATCCCATTTATCCGCAATGGTTCTGAACTCGTTATTTTACTTATTAAAATTGATTTTTCAGTTAAACTGCAATCAAATTGGTATTTCATTTAATCTATTCATATAAAAGCAAAGGGTGACACTTAAGTTATAGTACAATATCTCACCGTTGGAGCAGTGTCAAAAATAATCCGTGTGAACATACTATATTCTTGTGATTCTAGGAATTGCATCACCTAGTAAAAGAATTTAAAGTTTAGCAAGGCCTCAATAAAATGATATAACACTCGTGAATGAGAATAATACCAAAACTCTTGGAAGAAAAGGCCCAAAGATACATACTTTAGAAATTGCAAGAGCTTCATCTAAGCCAGGCGGTGGTGTGTCCAAAAGCTCCCCAAGTTTCAACTCTCCTAGCTTTGTTGATAAAAACAAACACAGCAGGTCAAAGATCAACCCAACAGATAAAGATTGACTTATTATTTGACAGAACCCTAAGGCCTAAACAGTCCTTTATCAATTCATTCCACAGTGAATATAAAAGGGGTGGGCAACAACTCAATCACAGCAACAGATAATATAAGATGTACCTGTTCGGCTAGCATGCCAAGCCCCATGCTGTCCATGAAATCTTTGACTCCAGTTCCTCCATTATTCTGACTCATACCACGGAAATCTTCCCTTGCCTTCTCTGGGTTTATCTGTCAGAATTCTAAAAATATTAATTTTCTAAGTGTAAGACACTGCCAATTTTGGTAAATTTTCACTTACAATACACACACTCACTGAAATAGTAGCATCTTTAAATTAGCTCCAATATAAGTACAGCAGTCATTAATACCTCAAGAGCAAACAGGGGAGAGTCCGGCCCTTCAACGGGCACCAGTGTTCCTCCAGTCAGATCCTACGATTGAAAATATTGTAATACATCAAGTAGAATATTAAATCATTTAAAGATTAACCAAATATTTTACATTAGAATATGATTTGTCTATGGCAAACCTGCGCAAAAGAATCACTTAGAGAATGAGCTGGATCAGTTGAAACCACAAGAGTAGGGTGCCCACTGTTAGCAAACTTCACGGCTAGTGACGCTGCACAGCTTGTTTTTCCAACACCTCCCTTACCTCCAAGCATGTAATACTTCCTCTTGGTCCCTGAGGCCATCTCATCGAAGCCAGATGAGGCTTCAGCTGGAGCAGCTACAGACCTCACTGACAAGGACAATGGTGAAACATCAACTCATCTTCCAAAGAAAAGATATAAGGTTGCAAAATAATTTGATAAACTATGAAACTCAAACTCTCAAAATACACATGATCTCTTTTAAACTTGTTTATTGGTAGTGAAACTAGTGTTACTGAAATACAATGTCCTACACTGATATCCGTGATAATTCATCTCCGGTAGCAGACATTTGATTTCTAGTTTCCATAACACATTTTACTCATATTTCTATACAGTAAAATTAAAGGTAACGGAAATCAACGAATAAATTTTCCACAAAAAATACACCCTCTTCAATTGCAGCACACTTTGGAGTCCGGACATCCCATGTAAAATTCCATGTAATCTTATTAAATACACCCTCATTACTCAATCAATCAATCAAAGTCTTAACCCCATAAGAGGGGTCGGCTACATGAACCAAAAGTGATTATCCTCGGTAGTCATCGACAAAAAAATACACCCTCATTCCTCATTACTCTTCCCTCAAATTATTAACTTACACTAACCGAGCCACCATCTCGTCAGCTTCCTTATCCCCATCTAATTGATACGTAATCTTACTAATAACAAATCTCAAATAATCTCTGAAATGTTTTGTTCACAATAGGGAAAATTGAGTAGGATGTGTTTCCTTTCCCTTCCTCAATTCATTCATATGTCACTTATTAAACCGTATATATTATCACTTAGCGAAAATATCCGAAACTCATCGATAAAAAATATACAATTAAGAACTCTTCACCCTTAAAAAAGCAAAATAGTAATAGAACAATTAAGGATAACCCTCTTGAATTCCTAGAGCACAAACAATAAAGAAAATGCTACTCCAACTTTCTATAATTACTTCAATTAAACTAAGCTCCTATTTCAATTTCCCAATTAATCTTTCAATCCAAACATAAATTATAACTAGTAGATAACATAATACAATATACACATCAAAAATCCAACTAATAGAAAATTGAATTAACTATGTAATTTCAAAATTAATTCATGCAACAACACAGAATAGTGAAAGAGCGAAAAAGATGAAGTAAAATTGAGAATTTCTGACCTTGAAAAAAGTATCGGTGAGAAGTTTTGCGGGCAAGGAGATGAAGGCAAGGGAGCTTAGAGGTGAAGATAGGGTTGAATCGTAGAAGAGGAAGAGGTATAGTGCGATTGGAAGGATGATGAGGAAATGCAACGAACGACATGGACGAAGCAAATGAACGGACGAAGGCACTCGCCATTTCTGCTGCTGATGAAGTTCAGAAGCTTTTTGTGTTGTTCGTATTCCACAACACACACAGGCAACGAGGGAAAGAGACAGAGAGAGTAGACGTGTAGTGGGTATTGACGTAGTTTGAGAATTTTAATCTACGTAATAATGGTAGAAATAAGGTGAAAAAAAATTATTAACTTTGACAAAGATATATGATAGAGAATCGGTAAAAATAATTTATATTAATTAAAAATAATATTAGTTCAATAATATCAATTGCATATAAGTAAAAATAATTTAAGTTCACCAAAAATATATAATTTTAGTTCAGTAAATATAATTTCATTCCAAAAATAAGGTGAAGTGAACGGGACTTAAGAGGGCGTATGAGAGGAAGTTCACACCAATATGGCATTAATTACTCTCATCATTAATAACAATGAATCATTAATCACAATGATGTGTCTGTTGGTATCAATATGACATCTTAAAATATCAACGGTCTTATTGGTATTTTTAGATCTAATATTAGTATAATTATTATACCACCGTGAGGTGTAAAAGTACTAAAAGACACTTATTATTGTCAAGTTGTCATTAATGACAAAAATAATTACTGATTTCGAATTATATTGAAAATGAAATGAAAATCAATCAAATAAAAAGGGAAAAGGAAATCATTTAATTTTTATCTTTTCACTAGTTTAATTGATTAGTTTGTTCATGGAAACTGGAAATGAATCAGTTGATCCTTATTCTCTTTCTTTTTGTTTGAGGAAATTAAAGGTAATTATTAATTTAGGTTTTTAAAGGGGTACAAATAGGTGAAAATCATTACCTCTAGGTAATGATAATTGTTAGTTAAATCTTCTAACCAAATACTTCTTCCGTCCCTTATTGATATTTCTAATATTTCAACAGAATTAAGGATTGGGAGTTTTTAGAATTCACAATTATTAGAAGTGCAAAAAGTGGAATTAGTGCATTTGTGTGGTGTACTTTATTGCTTTAATTAAACAATCAAAGTTTTAAAACTTTTGATAGCATGTCATTGTCAACTTTATTGATGGGTGTTCATTATTGCATTTTTCAACACAAAAGAAGAGAGAGTTTGGGGAATAAAAGTTAGAAATTAGGGTATTATGGTCCAAAAGCTAAGTATAGTCCATAAATAGAATGAAATAGAAATAGACACATCATTTTGGAACTCTTTTTAAGAAAAACATGGAAATCATTAAGGGATAGAAAAGGATGATACACCCAGGTGCACCATGCGCATGGTGCACCGGGTAAACAAAAAAAAGGCGGAAAGAACATATAGTGTTTGATAACGAACATACAACGTTTGATAAATAACATACCTTTGTTTGACAAAGAACATACCTTTAATATATTCTTTTTGTTTTGGGGTTTTCTGTGTCCCTTGGGAGAGTTACGTCACCAAGACTGGATTCCGGTCGCCTGTACCTGCAAAACCACGGAAGCTCTGGATGGTCGGAGTTCCGCCTCCGATGGTCAAGTTAGTAAAGATTAGGAGTAAAAGAGTGCGGAAACGTAAATATCTTCTCGGATTCCGAGATCAGGTGTTTTCTCTGTTTTCGAGAATAATAAATGATATAATGATTGAACGTGCCCCAAAATGGGGGGAATCTCCCTATTTATAGGGTCCTTTTGATTTGTGCCCTTATCCTAGGTTACGAAAACCTAGGACTGATGGTTGCGCGGTTTTACAACAGTCTAGGGATTTGGGCCTTGAAGGCCGCCAATCCCCTTAGGGTATCTGCCTGCCACGTGTCTACCTTTGGTAAGTCCATTTTGGGCTCTCCCTAGGGTGACACGTGTCACGCTTTGGTTGGTCCGCGTGGCAGGGTAAAAATACCCAAATCATTTTCCCCTCACAGGGGTGATGTGACGTGCCACGTGGCGCCTGTGACAAGTGTCACCCATGTATTGCGCAAAATTTTTACTGTTCATCCGGAGTAAAAATTAGGGTTTGGGCTCCCCAACAATTTACCCCTCCATAAATAGTTTTTCACCCCCCTCACTTTCGCGCGTTTACGAAAAAGTCTTCGAGAGAGAATCTTTAACTTTGAGAGAATTTATCTTTTTCTAAGAAAAGCACCTGTCGCCTGCAACTTGTCCGTCTGTTTCTACAGCCGACCAAGACCTTTCAAGCGTCCTCGGTACCTTCAAATCTAAGGTAATCGCCTACTTTTCTCTCTTTTTATTTTAATTTTGCTTCTTTTCTTTTGAAAATGGTTTCCCAAACGCACACGGCACGGCCTAGGTTAGTGATCAGCTAGTCACCGGGGACGGTTAAGTCTAGAACTAGAAGTGTCGACTGCCCCTTCTTGGACTCCCCTTTGCGAACTTCCCCGAATCCGACCGTCTCTGTGTTTGTGCAGGACACCATGGCCAGAACGAAACAAACATCTAGGCAGCAAAATCCGGACGGCTCCTTTAGGGCGCCTGTTAGTGAAATTTCTGATCTGCCGCCTAGTACTCCTAGTACCCCCAGTGATTCGGTTTCGCAAGAATCAGGGGAGGATTTAGGAAGTGATGTCTCTGGATCTGTTCATCAGGCCTCTCATTCGGACGTTAGGTCTGACAGCTTGCTCTGACGGCGAATCGGAGCCGTCTACTTCTGGTAGAGTCTCTGTGAACTCTGATGAAAAGCGATCTCAACTGGAGACAACGAGAGAGTCCCTCTCCGTAGAGATGGGCGAGGGAAGGGTCGAGCCTTCTACCCATCTCCGAGAGCAATACGCCGCCTATTATCACCATGTTCTCGCCAGCAAGCGGAAGGCTATGATTGAGAAGGTGGGGAAGTTTCGAGCTGACTATGTCACGGGACATGGTATTATTATCTGCGTCCCTGATTCTAACACCGTAGTTTGGCCAGAAAGGTCAAGCTACGGGGACGAATGCTTTGGCTGCTATGAGGCGGCCATTCAGGTTGGTTTACGATTCCCTCTCCAACCGGCTATGGAGAGGATTCTAGCCGGATACCTGCTGGGTGTTTGGTAACTTACCCCCAACTCCTAGGTAAATATTCTAGGGCTCATTGCCGCATGTGAGATGCTATAGGTAGAGCCAAGTTTTGAGGCCTTTGTCCAGATGCACTATCTCAGCCAGACCTTGAAAGCAAGCGGGTCCGGATGGTACACCCTTTCAAGCCACAAAGGTTACTTGATGGCTATGGGGAAGGAGTCCAAGTAGAGGGACTGGAGGAGCAAATTTTATATTATCACCTCCCTCGACTGGATGAAAAACTAAAAATATAAACGGTGGAACCGGAATCCCCCTTTGCTCTCAGGCGGAGCTGAATTGCCGCTTGTCCTAAGAAGGGCCAGGGAGCAGATCCTGGACAAGGGTCTCTTTAGAGTGACCGTTCGGTCTAATGAGGAGACGGGGGAGAAAGAAGTCATTCCCCACAGCCACATTCCCCGCCATGATTGGCAAGCTGATGGGAATTACTTGTCCTCCTACGACTTGAGTGTTGAGAGGCCGAGAGGTAGACGACCAAATGCGTTTTTGATTTTTTTAGTAAGACTTGATTGTTTTGTTCATCTTACTAACCACTTCCAAATTTGTATGCAGACAGAGTAATGGAAAAGCTTGGCTCCCCACTCCGCCGCCTACTACCGCTTCAACTTGGGTAGACGGAAGAACAAGGATCCGGAGGCAGCCAAAACGCCCAAGGTGAGCCATATTCTTTAGTTGGATAGGTTGAAGTTATTTTCCCCGCCTGCTCTTTACTCACTCTGGTTTATGTGTAGGGCGATTGAACCAAACCTTCTCCCTCTTCTCAGCCAGACCCGAAGCTTCAAGAGTAGTCGGGCGGTGATGTGAAGGCTCCTGGCAAGCCTAAGAAGTATGTGGCCCACAAGCTTGGCAAGACCAAGGCAGGAGATGGCTCCCACCCCCCCCCCCCAACTGGGGGAAAATCTCCAGAAGGCCTCGAGGCCTTAAAGAAGTCGGACGCCCATAAAGCGTCTAAGAGTGGTAACGATCCACTTGAAGCTGCTATCAACTCAACAATTGCGGGAAGCAAACCCCCAAAAGGCCGGGAGGCGGCCGATAGGAACAAGGCCCCCTAGGAGAGGGCGGTTTCTAATGGAAGCAAGCTCCCTAGAGAGAGAGATGAGGCGGACGTGGGAGGTATTACAAGTTTTAATCCCTTGCCCTACCCTTGTAGGGTTAAGCTCAATCAACAGTCGACCAGCAATTCTGAAGACACTCAGTCTTATAGCAGGATTTATGTCAACTACTTACAAAGTGTTCAATGTGCAGATGTCCCCCAAAGGCCGGATATTCAACATTTGGCGAAGACCATGCTGAGGGCCATCTTCCCCGAGGATAGCGAGTCTATCAGAGGAGTCGGCTCCCTCAACTTTGATGTCATCCTTGCCCTCCTTGCTGAGGTGCAATAACTTGTAATTTTTGGTTTTTGTGCAACTCTTTGAGTTGCTTGATATTAATGTTTTGCTCTTTGCCGGATGCAGGCTATGCTGTGGGTGAACTGCCATAAAAAAACCGTTCAATGAGAAGACCAAAGAGGTAAAAGCCTCGAAGCTCGGGCCGCCTCTTCTCTAGATACGACCGCGTTTGAGATTTCTCAAAATGAACTACTAACCACTGATATACTGTATTCTCAGGAGGTGGCTACTCTGTAGGTCAAGGCCGATCTGGATGCAGCGAAGAGAAAGATATCCGAGTTAGAGAAGGAGGTTAAGGACCTCAAGGCCAAGCTCGAGCCCCTCCAGGAGGCGGACAATGAGGTAGACAGACTCTGCACCCGGGTGGAGAACCTCAAGAAGAGGCTGCAACAAGGTTATTAGGATTGGGATCCTACTTTGGATCTGTGAGAGGAGTAGGATCGAATCGGTAAAATCGGATCATAGAATCATAAGATTTTACAAAATTGATAAATAGAGTAATGTAAGGGTTGCTACATAATTATATTACATTTTTTAAGCCATAAAAATGGTAAAATTTATTGTTTAGTAGTTGGATAGTAATTTTCTTAGCTTAGAAAAAAGTTTAATTGCTTTAGGCTCATTTAAATAAGTAAAAAGTAAGATCGTACGATCCTGATCGATCCTACTCGATTCTGACCGATCCTACACGATTCTGTCCAATCCT